ACTAATTTAGGAAGCTGTGGAGGCCCTTTAAGATACACTGAGCACCTCCCCAGAGGGACGAGCAAGCAGGACCCCTGTCCTGAGACCCCCGCAAGGGGAGGAAAGTCCCTCCAGGGCTCCCCAATCCAGGGCTCTGCCTCTGACTGAACACGCCCTGCGTTGTGCCACAGCACAGCCCTGTTGACACCAGCAGTGAGCTGTAATCGGCAGTGGAATGATTCTGTGTGGATGCTTCACCAGCGTGCTCCGATATCATCATGCCCCGGGAGTCCTGGGCAAGCACCTGCGTTCGTTTCGTGCAGGAAGTGGGGACGGCCTGGTTTCTCCTCCGGCCCGCCCTGATGCTGGTGCCGGTCCTGGGTCCGGGGGCTGCTCTCCCGCGGTGCCTGTGACTGCTGTTGTTGACTCTTGCCTTGCAGAGGCAGGTCCGCCACCCTTTCCTCCACACGCTGCAGGACTGCTGGCAGACCCAGCGCCACCTCTTCATTAGTGAGTGACCCGGTCTCTCTGAAGGGGGGGGGGGGCTGAGATTCGGACCCGGGCTGCAGTGTGTGCCCACTGACCCTGCGCTGGTGTCCAGCAGAGTGAGGTGTGAGGAGGGGGATCAGAGGGGCATTGTTTAGCCATGCAGGGCTACAGAGGGGATAGCTCGCTGTCTTTTCTGTAGGTAGCTCTCCTTCATATGAGCAGGGCTCTCCAGCGTCCCAGATGGATGAATGAACGAGTAACTATGTAGCGCAGGGTCCGGGGCTCACACTGCGGGTGCCAGGGCGATCCAGCCTGCCCTCCTGCTCTGCCGGAGAGAAGATCTGTTAAATGAAACCAGCAGCAGCAGAGTCTGAAGCTCTTCATTTCCCCTCTGTTTCCCTTTTGTTGTAAAGCAACTCTGTTTCCTCTTGTATGGCAGTGTGAGCAGGGCTGCAGTCAAAGCACGGGCACACAGGCGCCCCGGGCCCGTCCCGGCTCTGACTGGAGGGGCCCGCTGGCCAGAGCTGTGATTTCGCAGGAGGAAGAAGAGCCCACCCTGACGCACTAAAGACTGTGTGTGGAGCAGCTGCCATCTGTGAGCAGCAGGAGTTGTGTTCTATTTGGACAATCATCAATCCAGGAAATGTTAGCTCTTAACCGAGATGCTGCTACTGACCAGACAGCAAGGGCACACGTGCCCAGGAATCTCAGAACAGGGCCCTGATGCTCTGGCAGGTGACACTGGGAGGGCAAATGACCTCAGGGGAAAAAGAGTTGCTTTTAAAGTTGATTCTTTGTCTATGGCTCAGCCGGTCTGGGCCGTGTCAGCTCGAGCCTTCCTCGAACCCTGAGCACACCTCTGCTTGCCACCTCCCCCCTTCCTCCGGCGCCGTCCCCAATGAAACGCACCTGGTCTGTGCCACTGAAACCTGCCCCCTTTTCTGGGTGACGTCCAACTGGTGTAGCTGTAGCTCCACAGTGTCCCCTCTCCCCCCACCTGCCCCTCCCTCTCCCTCTGAGCGGCAGGAACCACCCTTTACACCAGGAGGGGGGGATTCGGCCTGACACACACCTGGGCTCTCATCAGGCTGCTTCTCCAGCAACCCTAGGGGACCAGCTTCCCCCCCTGTGGTTCTGTCATGGTCTGTTCGAACCCCTTGCTCGTCCCAGCCTCTCTCAACCGTCCCTAAAACGCCCACACGTCCTGTCTCGTCACCCATCTGCCTCGGGTGAGTCTTGCCCGTGCTGGATCCGGGATCGTGGGAGATGCCCAAGGGAAGCGCAGCACACGCCGCGCGCCCCTGACCATCAGGACTGTGTCCAGCGCTGGCGGGTGGACGCAGAACCCCAAGGGCTGTGTGCCGCGCGGTGTAAACGGTGGCTGTTGGCGCGGGGGAGTCCTGTGTGTGTGTGTGTGTGTGAAGGAGCGCTGGCTGTGCTGTCAGGGAGTCACGCTGTGCCCTCTGCCCCCACCAGTGTGTGAGTACTGCAGCACCGGAGATCTCTACACCTACTGGACCATGGCCGGCCGGTTTGGGGAGGAGGCGGTCCGCGTGTTTGCGGCTGAGCTGGGCTCTGCGCTGGGTGAGCACAGCACCTGGGCAGGGTGCACCAGAGGTCTACTCCCCCCTGATCCTCCCAGCTCCCCTGTGGCTGTACCGTGATTATACCACAGCGTCACTCTGTTTCCCTTGGTTACACAAGAATAGTTACAAACCAGAGGAGTCATCTGGCCCATCTAGCTCAGGGTATCGGAGCTTGTTGCAGACTCCCACACACTCTGCACTCCTGAGTAGTTCCCACTTGTGCCTCTGGGTCCTGCTTCACTGTTCATCTGGTCCCTCACAGTTTGTATTATCTACATCCCTGTCTGTGTTCCACCAGGACCTGGTTTGGTTTAGCTAGGCTTATCCTGTCTGGGCCGTCACTGCACTGCAGAGTCAGACTGCACTGACTCTCAGTCCCTCAGCAGCTCCCCACTGTTTCCTAGTCCTGGTTCTCAGGAAACCAATTTTTGCTGAGTTCTCAGTAACTTTACTTTTATAAGGCCTTATAAGGCTGTAGATGGCTTGGCACCTCGGTACCTGTCTGAGTTACTATTGACCTCGCAACCTCAGTCTCCTGATTCTGGTCTCCTACTGTCCCCCAAGCTTGTCTACACTCTGTGGGTGACAGGGCCTTCTCCTGCTGCACCCTGAAGCTCTGGAATTATATCCCTGTAGAAATCACACAGCCACCTTTCCTAAACTCTTTCAAATCTCGACTCAAAACCTTCTTTAGAAGGGCTTTCATTTAACTGGTTCTGTGTCTGTCCGGTTTTTCTCCTTCTTTTTCCAAACCCTTATTGTAGCTGTATTTCTGCTGTCTCCTTTCACTGTGTACTTTATTTCTGACTGTAAAGCACTTTTCAAAGCCATTTTTAAAGGTGCTAGACACAATAGTGTATTATTATTTTCCAGAGCTCTCAATGGAACGTATCGTTTGCTCAGTTAGACCTCTTTAAATGTTTCCCAAGAGACGTCTTTTTTCCCCGGTGTTCACAGCTGTTCCTCCCTCTCTGCCATTCCCAGGATTCCTGCATGACTTTGGGATTATTCACCGGGATGTGAAGGTGAGGCTTCTAGCCCTTGACTTTAATTCATGCACGCAGTTAAAAGCTGAATAAAAGCAAATTTACATCAATCATAATCTGTATAAAAACACAGAAAAATAAAATACATCTACACATACCAACATAAAAATTACTACAGTAATTATAAAGCTTGACGGCAGGTAGCAGAGTAGAGTTTCTCAAACTATTTGTTCTTTCTAAATTGTGTTTATATATTGAGTGGGATACTACATGAAAATCCCAGGTTGTTGCTACTGATACTAACCTATGGTGTTTTTGTCTTGTTCTTTTTTAAGATGGAGAATGTTTTGTTAAATGACCAAGGTAAGGCAAAGTACTAGCTGTGATACCCTACTGATCTACGCTGTTCTCTGCTCTGAGTTTACAGCCTTTTGTCTCGCCTGGGCACACTACTGCATGTGGTTTGGATCCCCCGTCATGTCTCTAGTTGTAATGTTGGGACTGGCCTGTAGATGGCACTGCAGTTCTGGAAGCATAGCACGTTGAGAATGATCTGAAGCCTTTGGCCAGCCTTGTGCTTTTGAAAGCTGTGGGTCACGGCCTCTTCGCCCATGGCTCTAGAGAGATTCAGAGTCTTTTTGCTTTTCACTACTGCCAAACGTGGCATCGCTTAACCAAGCCAGGGCTGGGGATTATTGCACTTGACTTGTCTGGCACTGAGCAGGAAACTCTTAAGAATAATAATTGCT